AAGAACACAGATGGGACCGGGCTCTGTAGCAGGGCGGTCCTTTGGTCCCAAAGTACAGAAGACTTAACTTTTAAAAACACAGATCAGGCCACGAGGGGCACGTACCTCGGTTGCAGTTTGTCCCCAGCCCTGGTTGGGTCGTGCGGGTGGCAGCCACTCGATGTGTCCCTTTCACATCAATATTTCTCTCTCTCCCTCTCTCCCTCCCAACTCTATCTGAACAAAAAATGGAAAAGTGTCCTCGGGTGAGGATAAAAAAAAAAAATAAAATAAATAAATAAAAAGACAGATCAGAGCCCTGGCTGGTTTGGCTCAGTGGTAGAGCATCGGCCCGCGGACCAATGAGTCGAGGGTTTGATTCCGGTCAAGGGCACGTACCTTGGTTGCAGGTTCATCCCCAGCCCTGGTCAGGGTCGTGCAGGAGGAACCAATCAGTGTGTCTCCCTCCCTGCCTCCCACTCTATCTGAAGATAAATGGAAAAATATCCTTGGGTGAGGATTAAAAAAGAAGACAAATCAGAACTGCCAGGGCAGGGTGGAGGGTGCACACCTGCGCTCCTGAGCTTGGCCCTGAGGACACAGTTTGGGGGTCACCTCAGTGGGGCTGAATGAGGACCACAGGCTTCAGCCTGACACTCCAGAACATCCCACCATGAACAGCTGGGACTGGAGGGTCCTGCCCGGGGCAGAGCCTGGTGTGTGGCCTGGGCACACTCACGCCAACTAACCAGGCCCAGTGGGCCAAAATCCCTAAAATGGGGCCCAGTCCTCACAGCTCTGTGAGGGGCTGACAAGTTACTCAGGCACCCAGTGCTCTACCAGACGGGGGGGTGTTCCCCCCACACCTGGCACCTCAAGAACTGGGGAGCCAGCACAGGAGCACCCAGCGCGAGTGCAGTGGCGGCGGTGGCCCTGGGGCCGGGGCAGCAGCGGCAGCCAGGGCAGAGTGCTGGGCAGCTCTGTCAAGGGTGGGCCTCCCTTTATTTACGTCCTTAGGTGAAGAGGGAGTGGACTTTCTCGTGGCTCACCTCTTTCACGATGGCGGCCCTGGCGGCGTGGGTGCTGCACTGCAGCTGGCCAGAGCCGCCTGCAGCCGGACCCTCCCCACGCCACTCGGGGTTCAGGAAGCTCATGCACTACATGTGTGGATGGGACTTACAGCTGGGAGGAGCCCTGGATGCCAGTGTTTTGTTTTTTTAATCCTTACTTGAGGACATTTTTCTACTTATCTTCAGATAGAGTGGGAGGGAGGGAGGGGAGGACAGAGAGGGAGGGAAAGAGAGAGAGAGTGAAACATGGACATGAGAGGGACACATCGACTGGCTGCCTCCTGCACGACCCCAACTGGGGCCAGGGACGAAGCACAACCGAGGTACGTGCCCTCGACCGGAACCAAACCCTCGACTCACTGGTCTGCGGGCTGACGCTCTACCACTGAGCCTAATAGGCCAGGGCTGGACACTAGTGTTTTTCCATAAAGAATTTATACAGACTTCTCTGTGTCTCTGAGAGATGGGAGGGTTGCTGCGCTCAGGACGCCCCCAGCTCGCCTGCAGCCACCCCCTGCATACAGCAGGCTTGAGTGCTCACCATGACACCTGTCAAGCCCCAGGCCGCTCCAGCCGTGGCTTCAGGCCTGAGCGGCCATGTCCCTGGGACGTGCACACCCAGCTCCGGGTGCTGGTGCTGCAGCGGCCTGGTCTCAGTGATGTAACGGATCACTCAGAGCTCAGCTTCCTGGTCTCTACAAACTAAAAAGGTAAAAAAAGACACCAAGAAGAAAGTATGAGATCCATCAAAATGTTCTGTTCACGAAACTGCACAACTTGTGGCAAGCAGCCTGCAGTCCCCGCAGCCCTGACCCGCACATCTGGGGGCATCTGGGCACAGTGCTGACCACCAGGGGGTGGGCGCTGGGAACCAAGTTCATCCCGAACACTCAGGCAGCCACTGGGCAACAAGGGAAGGGCCGTGGCCGTGGCGGGAAGAGGCCTCTGCGGTCTGTCACCAACACAGGCAAGACAAACGCACAGTCCGCTTCAGAGCAAAGGGAAGGGGGAGCGGAGACATGGCCAATACTGAGAGCAGAAAAACAACTCCAATTCCTAAGTTACTTGCTGAAATACCTGCTATTTCTTGGGTTTAAATTCTTTCTGCAAAGGTCCATGAAATTCCTAGGTTAAAGTCTCTATGTATAATTCACGTTCTACTCTCCAAACAGAACAGTTAGTGCTTAGTTTTATACAGACAGCTGCCAAAACAAGAAAGGATACTTAAAGTTTCAACAAATGATAATAGATTATCTAAAGGACAAACGAAATCTATTTATAATCTCTTCATACTTGAAAAAAACCTGTGTCAGTGGGTGAGGAGAGCAGTTTAACTGGAAACTTCCATGAAAACGTCCAGTGGGACTGAGCTCACTAACGCAGTGCGGGAGGGACAGGCCAGCACACAAAGGGTTACCGCTGCCTTCCAGGAGGCTGTCCAGCGTCCAGCACGGCTGGGATGGGCGGCCCTGGGAAGCCTGCAGACATAAAGGCTGCTCCCGGCGCTGCTGCGGCGGCTGCTGCTCTGCCGCGGGCAACCTGCTCGGCGGCCTGCGACAAGGACAGGCAGGGTCTGCTCCCACGAGGCCCCATTCTCCGCCCACGAGGCCAGCCTGCCATGAGCACATTCCCTGAGGCTGGGAGCCCACGGAGGACAGGAGGGTCCACTCAGAGACAACACCAGGTCGGGGCGCCAGCTGCAGCACAGGTAAGTCTGTTCTGGGCTCCTCGCTCTGCCTTCAAGTCGGTGTGCTGAAGCCCACTGTGGGTAACAGCTGGACGCAGACATGGGCAGACTGGGCACAGCTGGGGACAGGGGCATGAGGCTCCCCACCTCCAGGCAGAGCTGTGCTCCCCGTGAGAAAACCCCAACTCAGCTCAGTGTCGGCGTGACTGGAGAGGGGAGGCTTGGCGTGTGGGCTGTACCCCGATTGCCACCCTGTTTTCTAGCGAGGACCCGGCGCCCTGCAGGACGTCAGGCCACCAGCCCTGCCTTGTAGCACAGCCCTCTGTCCGCTTTCAGTGAAAACCCTGGCCTCACCCAGAAAGGACAGGGGATGAATTCCTTTGCGAAGATACAGCCTAGTGGTCCTGACAAAAAAGTGGTCTTACTTCTCTAGATTTGAACAAGCAGTGGAAATTGGAACCCAAACAGTGTCAAACTGTCTGATGCTCACCTTTATGCTTACACACTCATGGTGCACTTCCCTGAGGACACTGTCAGCAGCAGCTCCGACCCAGGTCCTTATGCCTTCTCACTAGACCACTAAGAGCTGCTGCCGAAGCTCAGACCTCACTTACGGGGGCAGGAGCACACGGCGGGTCGGAGCCCACAGCTGACCTGATGCACGGGCCCTGCACCCCCCCACGCTCTCCTCTAAGGCACCAGAACTCCAGAACACCCACCTAAAGAGCAGGGCAGCCTGAGCAGTTTTTACAAGTGAAATCGAGGTTCGAAACAAAATGCCACTAAAATCAAACCACCAATCCCACTATGCAAAGGGTATTGAACACGTTAAAATAATGACAGACACCACAGGCTAATTAATCTTTCGTTTGTTTCAAAGTAGTATTTTCAAGCAACAGATCAATGAATGTCTAGTCTGGTTTGGCAGGCCTTCAAAAATGGTTCTTGCCCTGGCCAGTTGGGTTCAGTGGTTGGAGCATCGGCCTGAGGACCAGAGTCCTGGGTTCGGTTCCCGCTAGGGGCACGTACCAAAAAAAAGGTTCTTAATGGCCTCACGGGGTAAAATGAAAACTGTCAACTAAAAAACAATTCAAATCCATTTTCATGTGAACAGTGGGCTCCTCTGCGTTTCTCACCCCCACAGCCGCCATCAGGCGGATCCTCCCGGGGCGGGGGGGGGGGGGGGGGGCTTCTGTGTGCTGCAGGACATTCCTGAAGCAAGGGCACCCCTCCCCATGGTGACAGCCTGGCTGACCCCCAGAGAGCTCTGGGGAGCCCGGCTCAACACAGACCAGACCAGAAGCCCCAGCCAGAGCTACCCTGTGTCGGCCAGCAGCGTGGACACCAGCCCCGGGAAGCTGGCCGCAAGGTTTCCTCGCCTGCTTCCTAGGTACAAGTTTCTCGGTTACAAACAACATTACAAAATGTATTAGGTGTGACAGTAATTGTCAAAACACTGAATAAATATTCAATAGCATTCCCTAACACAATGACCACTCTTATGCCTCATTGTGTCGCTCACGCCATATCATGAAAAAGCTTCATTTTCGGCATCAACATTTAGTGTCAGGACTAGCAGAAGAGCTGGTGTCTGCTCAGGTGTCGCTCGAGAGAGGCTCGCTCCTGCTCCCCCAGGCGTCCTGGCCCACAGCCTCCCAGAAACGCTGGGATTTTCCTTCCTGCTCTTCCTCTTTCCCACGGCTGCCAAAGCGAGTTTCCTCTCCTCTCCTGACAGACAGTAGTTTTCCTAAGATTTCCAAACCCAATGTCCACGTACGTCCACAAGCCAGCTATTGGACTGTGAAGAATGCATCCAGGCCGAGATGACTCACTGTCCCCGTCTGCAGCCCAGGCTCCTCGGCTCTGGGAGCCCTCAGGGAGGAAACACTGAATTCTTTTGCCTCAGCTCAGTGGCCACTGTCCCTCCAAGACCATAAATCTCCAGTGAGGCCCTTCTCAGCACATACAGGTGCTGCCCAGTGACCCTGCGGCCAGCTGGCTGGGCCTCTGGCCGCGCCAGCCCTGAGCAGGAAGGGAACGGAGCCTCACTCTCTCCTCTGCTCCTCCAGGTGCCGGCGGGGAGCGGAGCCGGCGCAGACTCGCCCCGGGCTGCGAGTGCTCCTGCCAACAGGCTCTGCCCGGACAATGCCTGGCGCACGACGAAGGGCAGCACCTTTCTTTCTAGAGAGGGATCTGCTGCTTAAAACAGGTTTCTGTGAGCCTCGTGGCAGGTCTTGAAGGTCACACGTGGTGGAGGTGTGGGCATGACTCCTCGAGCACCCATCTTCGGCATGGAGACCAACCCAGGGGCCTACAACGGCACGCCAGCGGCACTCGCCGGCAGGGCGCTGGAGAACCAGACGGGCGAGCTCTCGGCGCAGCAGCAGTACGCCATCGGGCTCTTCCTCTCCTGCCTCTACACCATTTTCCTCTTCCCCATCGGCTTCGTGGGGAACATCCTGATCCTGGTGGTGAACATCAGCTTCCGGGAGAAGATGACCATCCCCGACCTGTACTTCATCAACCTGGCGGCGGCAGACCTGGTGCTGGTGGCCGACTCCCTGATCGAGGTGTTCAACCTGGACGAGCAGTACTACGACATCGCCGTGCTGTGCACCTTCATGTCCCTCTTCCTGCAGATCAACATGTACAGCAGCGTCTTCTTCCTCACCTGGATGAGCTTTGACCGGTACCTGGCCCTGGCCCAAGCCATGCGCTGCAGCCTGTTCCGCACCAAGCACCGCGCCAGGCTCAGCTGCGGCCTCATCTGGATGGCCTCGGTCTCTGCCACCCTGGTGCCCTTCACCGCAGCACACCTGCAGCACGCCGGGGACGTGTGCTTCTGCTTTGCAGACGTCAAGGAGATCCAGTGGCTGGAGGTCACCTTGGGCTTCATCATCCCCTTTGCCATCATCGGCCTCTGCTCCTCGCTCATCGTCCGGGCCCTGGTCAAGGCACACAGGCACCGGGGACTGCGCCCCCGGAGGCAGAAGGCGCTCCGGATGATCTTCACCGTGGTCCTCGTCTTCTTCATCTGCTGGCTGCCCGAGAACGTGTTCATCAGTGTGCACCTCCTGCAGCGCACGCAGCCAGGGACCGCACCCTGCCAACAGTCCATCCGCCACGCGTACCCCCTGACCGGCCACATTGTCAACCTTGCGGCTTTCTCCAACAGCTGCCTGAACCCCCTCATCTACAGCTTCCTTGGCGAGACCTTCAGAGACAAGCTGCGGCTGTACATGGAGCAGAAAACAAACGTGTCGGCCCTGAACCGCTTCTGTCACGCGGCCCTGAAGGCCGCCATGCCGGACAGCACCGAGCAGCCAGAGGTGCGGTGCAGCAGCGTGGCCTAGATAGCGAGCTGCTCCCACACGCTCCGCACTGCCTGGGCAAGGGCACCAATGCCACTCAGAGCGCCGTCACCCTGGGCTCCCGGCACCCTCCCTGGACGCCCCGTGCCCCCGCTCCTGCAGAGTTGGGCCTACCCGTGCTCCCAGCTGTAGGTCAGGGGGTGGCAGAGGGGCCTGGGGACCAGCGTGGCCCTCACGTCCTCTGCATAGACTGAAGCTCGCAGCAGAAGACATTTCTGACGTTGCCCAATGAAGGCAAAGGAGAATGCTTTGGATGCAATATCTCAGTTTCAAGGAAGACCTGCCGTGAATCTGCCCTTGAGGAAAACGAAACCTGAGACTAATCTGAGCACACAATGGCCCACTTCCACACTCGGTCTGTGACGGGCTATGCACGCCATTTCCTCAGATCCAGGCGCCAACTTGCCCATGCCTGGTGAGTGACACCTGTGTGCTCAGACTGCCTGTGTCGAGGCGGCTCTCCTCTAGGGACAGGATGGCCACCGCCCTCCAAGAGGCCCATCCAGATTCTATGTGTTCACAGCCGTCGCTGAAGCACGTCAGAGTGGAGTTGTCAGCAGCAGCTCCGGGATGCTCGCTGCAGCTCAGGGGTGGCGGGTGACAGTGGAGTGTCAGCAGCAGCTCTGGACGGCACCGTGGATGCTGCAGCTCGGGTGACAGTGGAGTGTCAGCAGCAGCTCTGGACGGCACCGTGGATGCTGCAGCTCAGGGGTGGCGGGTGACAGTGGAGTGCCAGCAGCAGCTTTGGACGGCACCGTGGACACTCGCTGCAGCTCAGGGTGGCGGGTGACAGTGGAGTGTCAGCAGCAGCTCTGGACGGCACCGTGGACGCTCGCTGCAGCTCAGGGTGGCGGGTGACAGTGGAGTGTCAGCAGCAGCTCTGGACGGCACCGTGGACACTCGCTGCAGCTCAGGGTGGCGGGTGACAGTGGAGTGTCAGCAGCAGCTCTGGACGGCACCGTGGACGCTCGCTGCAGCTCAGGGTGGCGGGTGACAGTGGAGTGTCAGCAGCAGCTCTGGACGGCACCGTGGATGCTGCAGCTCAGGGTGGCGGGTGACAGTGGAGTGTCAGCAGCAGCTCTGGACGGCACCGTGGACGCTCGCTGCAGCTCAGGGTGGCGGGTGACAGTGGAGTGTCAGCAGCAGCTCTGGACGGCACCGTGGATGCTTGCTGCAGCTCAGGGTGGCGGGTGACAGTGGAGTGTCAGCAGCAGCTCTGGACGGCACCGTGGACGCTCGCTGCAGCTCAGGGTGGCGGGTGACAGTGGAGTGTCAGCAGCAGCTCTGGACGGCACCGTGGACGCTCGCTGCAGCTCAGGGTGGCGGGTGACAGTGGAGTGTCAGCAGCAGCTCTGGACGGCACCGTGGATGCTGCAGCTCAGGGGTGGCGGGTGACAGTGGAGTGTCAGCAGCAGCTCTGGACGGCACCGTGGACGCTCGCTGCAGCTCAGGGGTGGCGGGTGACAGTGGAGTGTCAGCAGCAACTCTGGACGGCACCGTGGACGCTCGCTGCAGCTCAGGGTGGCGGGTGACAGTGGAGTGTCAGCAGCAGCTCCGGACGGCACCGTGGATGCTGCAGCTCGGGTGACAGTGGAAGCAGCGATGACAGCCATGTAAACAGCACTCTTACAATGTAAGTAAAGCCTGTGGTTGTGGCACTGCTCAGAGTTATCAATAAAACACGTGTGCTGGCCCTTCCAGGTTCTCCAAGCGGTTCCCTCGGGGGGTAGGGCTCTTGGAGCCTCACAAAGGAAAACCAGCCCGGTGCCAAGAGGCTCGCTCACTCACCGGAGAGCTCTCAGCGGCCAGCATCTCAGTGCAGGCCCTGGACACAGCTGGCATCTCTGGTGTTGGACACCTGCTGCACCATCTTTGGGCACGAATGTTCCACGTGCCCTCGCTTTGCTAGGAGGCTCTGGCTGTCAGTACGAGCCATGGTGTCCGCACCAGCTCAAAGGTCTCGGAGCAGCCAGCTGAGAGCTCCCTGCCCCCTTGAAAGTGGGGGAGGCTCCTGCCCCTCCTGTCCTGCCCATGCCGCTTGGGGCCACCTCCCCAGAAGTGCCCTCAAGGGTTCTTCACATGGGCAGGGCTCCCTGTCCTGGGATCGAGCCATTTTTAGTTTTAATAGCTCTTTATGAGCATAAATCTCCAAGAAAGAATCTGTCCAAGTGTATGCCTGCGTGACAACTGACGGCAGACGCGCACCTCCAGGGGCTCGCCTCCTGACTCGCTCCACACACCCCACTCCGCACATCCAGCCCAGGAGCAGGTGCTTGGGACCCTCCCAGGATGGCTCCAAGGGCACAGAACAGCCCTCCCCCAGCCGGGCCGACGCTCGCTGGAGGAAGAGTCCCTCCCTCTGCCTCTCCGCCCTCCTGCAGGTTGCAGACCTACCAATGGCAGAAAGGCCACGATCATTCGCATAGTTTCCTGAGATGCTCCCCTCACACTCTGTCACCTGCTCTTCTGAACGGCACTCTGCTGTGAGTACAGGTGGCCGTGACCAAGCACGGTGGCCTGCAAAGCTGGTGGAGACATCTCACAGGACGCATGCTGGTTGCCGAGTCCATCCCTGAGCCAGCACAGCCTGGGGCTCCAGCATCGGGCAGCTACCTCCACACAAGGAGCTCTCCCAGTGCATCCGTCACCCTGATTCCAGCTGAAAGGGGTGATGAGGTGCTCTGAAGGTGCCCGAAATCAGAGATCGTCCTTTCTAACCTTTAGCTCTTACAGGGAGGGTTGGGGAGCAGACAAGGCATTAGAGAATAAGGCCTCATTTCTTGTCCTTCCAGTACAAAAGCCCGTCAGGTCCACGCCGTCCCAACACTCAGACAAATGCACTGGTGCTGTAAGTCTGTGGCTGCTGGAACTCCTAAATGAGAGTGAGAGCCAGCAGCTGCTCCATCTCCAGCTCTAAAGCCCAGTCACAAGCCAGGCCACGGGCCTCCCCTCCCCCAGGCACCTCTGGACAGGGACTTCACCCTCCAAGGGGCCAGCGGGATGTTCATGCCCTTCCCTGGGCCACAGCTCAGGGAGTTTCCATCTGGGGTCCTGGGACCCCCTGGGACACTGCACAGGACAAACGTGTCCTTCTTGCTTTGTGAGCTGCCTCCTGCCCCGAAGCCGCCTCAGTGCAGGTCTCACTCGGCTGTGCTCCCCCAGCCACGGGCCAGTCAGGGCTGGACCCAGCTCCTGCTCTGAGCTCCGCACGCCCCCTGCCTCAGTGCAGGTCTCACTCGGCTGTGCTCCCCCAGCCACGGGCCAGTCAGGGCTGGACCCAGCTCCTGCTCTGAGCTCCGCACGCCCACTGCCTCAGTGCAGGTCTCACTCGGCTGTGCTCCCCCAGCCACGGGCCAGTCAGGGCTGGACCCAGCGCCTGCTCTGAGCTCCGCACGCCCACTGCCTCAGTGCAGGTCTCACTCGGCTGTGCTCCCCCAGCCACGGGCCAGTCAGGGCTGGACACAGCGCCTGCTCTGAGCTCCGCACGCCCCCTGCTGAGCCGTGAGAAGGGGCAGGACGGCAAGGGTCTCCCAGACAGACAGCCAGTCTGCAGGGTCACTAGCAGGGTGAGTCTGAGGCAAGGAACTCCTGCTCCTCTGAGTCTCTCCTACCCGAGACCCTGGAGCTCCTGTCTGGGAGACAGACAGCGGGGACGCAGACCTGCCCAGCCCAACCCAGCCCAACCCAGATCCTTCTGAAACACATGTCTGAGAGCTGGGGCCGACTCATTTAGCTGTGGCAGGGACACCACAAGATAAGATCAAGGCTCTCGAGTGCCTTGTTGCTCCCAGTACCCAGCTCTCCCGGGCACTCATGCTTGGACCCCTGCCGGCGCTCAGTGCAGAGCCCTGAGCACCGAGCCCTGGTGCCAGCTCTGCTGCCATTCCAGTGTCCTCCATGCTTAAGGTCAACCTTGATCACGAGGGCACGAGGTCCCAGCCCTCCCCACAGTGCATCCTGTTGGGTGCGGAGGGGGGCCCCTGGCTCATGGAAGCCTCCTCAGTGCACAGACCTTCTGTCCAGAGGAGGCAGGGAGCATGTGGGCTTACGAACTGAGCACACCGTGAGTGTGCTGGGTCCTGACGCCAGAGCCCACAGTGGGGACAAAGCTGCAGACGCCGAGAAGAGGCGCCAGGAGAAGCCGCAGGAGCAGACGGAACTGAAGCCATCGGTTTCAATGCAGGATCTCTACAAGAGGTGCAGGAAGGTTTGTGTACACCATGTGTGTGCACACTCCATGTGTGTGTACACCGGGTGCGAGCGTGTACGCATGTGCACACACAGTGAGTGTGCATGCCCACAGCTCTGTCTGCTCAAAGGACTGCAAGACTCGAGCGGCCATGCCCCCAGTGCCCAGCCCTTCATCTCTAACACCCTTGCCCTGGACAGAAACAGGCTCCCGAGAGAAGCAGCTGATCGGGCTGGGGCAGAAGATGCCAGACAAGCCTTGGGATACGGGGCCTGCCGTGCAAGAGAAGCCCCAGAGCACAGCAGGCCGCGTGGGATAGGCCTGGGACCACCCGCAGGCTCCCACTGGCCACACGGGGCAGCGCAGTGTCAGACCACCAGGAAGAGGAAACAGTGACTGCAGTGCACAGATGTGAATGTGCGGGCCTGAACCCACGAGTGAGGGTGTGGACGGCCCATCGCACAGACGTTGGTGCCACTGGCCGCTGGAGGGCACCGGGGCGGAGTTGACATCCTGCAACTGCCAGGGGGGCGGGGACAGGCAGGCACCTGAGTGCAGGCTGACCCAGGGGCACCACCACGGCCAGGACCCCGCAGAGCCTGCGCCCCCCTCCACCGCCTGCATGCAGGGACAGCGCCACACAGAGGGGGCGGGGCCCACTGCAGGGGAGGCCAGACCTGGACCCCATGTCCTGATCTGGGAGAGAAGCTGAATCTAACTAGGGGGGCAACAGAAATCCCTGAGTGGGGACAGGGAGGGGAGAGATTCAGCCACAATGTCCATGTCAGAGAAG